AGATAAATGCCACCAAAAATAAATTGGATCGAGAATCCAATCCATAATAACGCATGTTCTAAACATATTCGTAAAAGTAATTCAACAAAAACCATGAGCAGCACAAAAGCTTTATTCTACATTTAGGTTCTTAGTCCAGAACTGTAGAGATCCGTATAAACGCAGTCTTCATTGCTTCATAAATTGTGAAAACGCGCTTGACAAAGTCCAGCATCATCGATTAAGAGATATCGTCAAAGCGGAAAAGTACGCGCTGCATCGAAGGAGAAGTCCGTGATAATGATGTCAGAACAAATTATATTTCCTTAAGCCGAGAAGTTCGCCACGGATGCATTTTCTTTTCTCCTTTGTTTTAACCTCTGCTTTGAGGCAATTTTTCAAGAAACTATTGAAAAGCTCGAAGCAGCAGCATTATGGTCAATGCGCAATTTATCAACAACATTCGGACATATGCCGACGATGCAACTATCCTAGCAAATAATGCGCACAATCTGCAGTTTATAGTTCAAGCCATAAATAATCAAAGCAATAGCTTCGTAAGTCGAGCGAAAACTTCATATGCAAATGCCACTCTATCAATTCATAACCAAAATGTAGGAACGGTGTCCAGATTTGTGTACCTGGGATGGCGAGGTAGAGAAGAAAGACGAATAAAAATGACTAACTCATCGTTGATGAAATATCAGAAAAATCTAACAAACCGGGAAACTAGTTTATCCCTTCGCCTTCGTCTCATGAAATGCTTTGGATGGTCGGTGTTCTCTTATCGTCTAGAATCATGGACATTAAAATTCACTACAGACTGGAACAGACTGGAAGTCTTGTGAGATGTAATGTTACCGCAGTCTTCGGAAAATATCGTGGGTAAATCACGTAGTCAATGCTGACGTTCTGCGAAGAATAAACTCTAAGCGGGATCTATTAAAGTGTAGCAGGTTTTCTGGAACACAATTTCTTCTGCGCGGCAGCAAATCAACACCAGACGGCTTACTGAGGTGACTAAAAAAGTCTAGAGGATAGCTGACATGACAAGATAGCGAAGGCTGGGATTTCCAGGCTTAACTCCATGGATTTTATTAAGCTCAATGCGTGCAAGGGACGAGTAGGCTTTCAAAACCTTAAGGATACGTTCATGTTCAAAATGAGAATTAAAATTTTTTAAAAATTAAATGACACTTAATTAGTTCGATTCGATCATTTCCATAGAATATATATTGATCTTTTTCAAGCCTTGGTACTTTCTCATTGCATTGGGCAGACACAATGTGACATACATCGTACACACATTACACTTACATCCTTTGTCGAACAAAATAATAAATTTATGCTATGCTTAATTCTCAACGGAGAGTATAAAAGATTTGCGGAAGAAATGAATGCCTCCTAAAGCTTTTCTATTTACAAATCATGTTATATAAAATGTAAATTTAAGGCGCGGATGAAACCGCTTTAACATTAGGGGACGCGCGCATTGTCGATTATACTTAAATTGGTAAGAATTTGTTGGCATAACTTGAGAATTCGTAGAAATGATAATAGAATACCCTGATCGATCAAGTGCAGAGGTTTTTAGTACATCACAGGGCAACACGTATCGTATTAGTAATCTTAACAAATTCGAGAATAAATGTTTTCTTCATTTCCTGAACTCTACACTAGAATCAAAAAGGAATTTGTTCGTGGAGCAGAAGTCCGTTGTATGGTCTAGTGCCGCAAACGTTTGGCGATTAAAGCAAAGGCCCACCAAAGCACTTTTACACTTTTACACTTTTCTACTTGTGTGGGAGATCGTTCGGTTCTTTGTCAGTTGCAATGTGTTCAACTTGTTCGTGAACATCTTCTCTTTTTTTCTTTAATTTGCATTTTTGAATGAAACTTGGACCTTTCCCTGAGTAGACAAATATAATATCGTTACAAATGCCAATGCATCCCTACATATAAACATATATCCCTGTTATTTGCCGATATTTTCGAATAACAATTGACAGTTTGGTGCCGTCTTCGGAGTGGCGTTATATTTGGGACATACTTTTCTGAAAATGCAGCTGATTCGGTTTTTACGATATTCGATGCGATGAACCTTTTGCTTGATTGATTTAAAAGAAAACCTCACATCGCCTACATATGAAAGCATTACCCTTATAACTGGTTCCAGACAACGAGCTTACATAATTCCATTCGTTGTACGTGTCTTCTTATATGAAACTTGTGCGTGTTAAGTGTGCTTGTGATATAAGCGTTACTCTTGATCAATCAGAAAGCTTAACGTAAACAGAAAAACATCTTCTTGATCAGGTTAAGTCAATCGGCTGCTTGCAGCTAACCTTATTCATCTAGCTACGTTTAAGTGAAGCACAAGAACTCTACAAGAATTCAATGAGAGCGGCATAGTTAATAATGGGATTTACTCCTACACGTATCATGTATTGATGAATACTTTCACATACACTCGGATGTTAACTTTAACGAATAGGAAACTTTTCGTAGAATATATGAATTCTTTTTTAAATTTTAAATTTCAAGTGGAAAATTTAATGAATTATATGAAATCTCTCCCTTCTCTCCCGTCTCTCGTGAATAGGTTTTTGCATTCGAGCAAATAATTATGCCAAAGATTCGATTCAGTTTAAATTAACTGCAAATTATTTAGTTTGTTTTTCTTCTTTTATTTTTTCTCATAAAAGATTTTATAATTTTTTTTTTTTTTTTTTTTAGTTTTTAACTAACCCTAAATTTTGTATCGCGCTTTCCAAGTTTCACAAAACTTTGCTATTAATAATAATGACGACATTTACTTTAATAATAGCATAAAGAAAATGTTTGAAACACATATACGACGCACTTAGTTATGCTTTTGTTTCATTTATTTTATTTATTTAATTTTGTTTTTTTTTTTTGTTTTTAATTCTTATTCATTTTTCATTCATGATGACAATTTTTTTTTGTTTTTTTTTGTTTTACTTTTCGACTTTTTTTTTTTAATGCTTTCTTATGAAATTGTTACTGTTTGCTTGTAAATATAACGAACAGTGTAGATGTAAAAACAAAAAAAAAAAACCACAAAACTACTCCTTTGCAACCGTCAACGGCATTCTTTATGGTTGTTTTATGCTAATTTATGTATTTTAATCATTCACTATTCACATTTAAACGGCTTCAAAATCTCTCAAGTGTAACTGGTTGCTTGGTGTGGTCACTTGATTGTTTGTTTTTTCTTTCTTACTCACTTGTTCGTTCACTTGCTCGCGTTCACATTCGTTTCAACAAACGGTCAGCTATACCTATGTTTTGCTTAGCTTTCGTCTTAAAAGTGTTAAAGTGGCGAGTAGTCACTCCATTGGAGTGGTCTTTAAATGAAAAATAAATTAATTCTAATCCTAACTAAGACTTGCAATAAATAGATAGCACTTTTCAAAGCTTCTCTACGGAAGTTGTTTATTCCGCTGAGAAGCAGAGAGAGGCCTCTAGCGCTCTAGCGCAAAACAGCAAATCCCCTTTAACGATGTTGCCACTTGTCTGCCAGCAGTTCCTTCTATTAATCTGCCTCTATCTACTTAACCCTCAAAGAAAAAAAAAAAAAAAGAAACAAAAATCAAAACACGATACTTGTGTTTGCAAGCAATGTTTTCGATTAAATATGGATTTGGATAGGTTAGCTTCTAAATATAATAACGAGCTACCGCTTCACGAGAAGCTTACAATAACGCAAAATACTGCAAATGTTACGCCTGTCAACTTTTTAGTAAAGTTTCGCGTAATCGGTTTCTAGCAAGAACTACACAAGTGGGCATGGTGGCAGTATCCTTGCCACAGTACAATTATTCTTAACTGGAGTCTCATTCACAAAAATAAATAAATAAATAAATAAATTAAAAAAAAGGAATTACCCCAGGTGCCGTAGGTGCCGTATTCTTTCCTCTTTAGTACTTTTTATTACTGTAGGAATATATAAAGTGTATAAGACATTTCGAATTTTTTTCTCAAAATATTCACAAATGCTCTGTGTTGGATTGGCGTATACTCGTGACCGCTGCTAAATACCTTGCAGCCTCAGCACATTAAAGCCAATAGCTAACCTTCGAAATATTCGAAACTTAGAAGTGCGTTCGCAAAGTGCTTTTGTGTATTTCTTCTTCTTTTCTTGTCAAAAGTTTTTCTGAAGGAAAGCACCCAAAAGTGATTAAGTGATTATATGCAAAACATAAGAGAGGTTATGACGGCCCGTCATCAGGAAGAAAAACAACAACTTGCCTTGCGAGAGACTCAAGACAAGTGTACGCATTTCAATTTTCTTTACAACCCAGCCTCGTAGCAGCGAAAAATTGAAAATAAAAAAAACAGTCTGCCTTTTTTTAAGTACAGCCCTAATATTTTTACATACACTAGCACCTTAGGTTTTATATGCATATGTAGCTCTGATTTTTGATAAGAATCTTACTAGTCGTGTCGCGGTGATGTAACTGTGACGAAAATTTAAGTTAGTTTTTAGAGGTATTTTCATAATACCGTTTTTTTTTTTTTTTTTTTTGGTTTTCCAAGCATAATTAAAGAGATTTATGCTTTTTAATTAGATATGACATCGCTTGCAAAACCAAACCAAACCAAACTTTTCGAAAACTTTTTCAAACTAAGGCTGTTGTCATAAACGATTTGTGTGCGGGAATTATATCATTAGTGGTGTGATGACCCAAATTTTTGAAGTTTTGTTTTTTTGTTTTTTTTTTGTTTTTTTTTTGTTTTTTTTTTCATTTTATATATATTTGATGTACTTGGAAATAAACTAAAATTTTTCATACATATAAACAATATAATAATTTTTATAGTGCAATATAATGGGTCCATTATTATATCTCACACAACTTCTGTTTGAGTCGATATTAAATTTGAGTAACTAAAGTTGAATTTTTTTTCCTTTTTCAAAATAGACTCGTTTGCCTTTAACGGACATACGGTAAATTCACTTCCATTTCGGCCATCTTCTTGATGAGATTACTTGTTTTCTGCAACAGTTTTATCGATCCATGCGCGTAGCTTATCGGTGTCTTGTAAGCCGACCATACGATTAACGACTTTTCCACCTTTCATAGCCATAAGTACCGGTATTGCTCCCACGTCATAATCTAACGCTAAATCTATATTCTCATCGATATCGACTTTGGCCAATTTGACGGTACCCGCTTTTTCACCAATAATTGACTCTAAACGTGGCGTCAGCTTCTTACACGGATTGCACCAATTTGCGAAAAAATCGACTATAACCATTTTATCGCTTCGTTTCACCTTTTGTTCAAAGTCTTCGGAATTTTGAACGATAAAAATTTCTTTTTTCACGACGGGTTCAGGTATAAGACGTCGATGCAACCGGGCTCCTTGGCTTAACATGCGTCTAGCGTTTCTCATACAATTGCTCAACATCTTGGATGACGGGGGACACGATTAAGAGGATTCCTTTATTTTCAAAGATTTATATAGTTTCCTTGTCTTAAGATTTTAAAAAATTTTTTTCAATTTTTTCAATTTTTTCTTCCAATAATTTTAACCAAGCTTTTGAAAAAAAGAATGACTTTACTATCAAAGGTTGTTTTACTTATTAAATAGAATTTGTAACTAATTATAAAATCTCATCCCAATGACAAATAAATAAAATTTTTCATAGTTTACTACAATCAAGTAAAATCGAAAAATTTGCCCCGACAGTAAAAAATTAATTCTTTTATTCTACTGAGACCGATGCAGCTTAGATTGATCGTAACGTTTGGTGCCTAAAGTAAAGGCCATTATATGCGTTCGTACGATTATTTTCATCTCATTAAATTTGCAAAAAACGCTTTCCTATCTGTAGACATTTTAAGCTTGGTCTTACGCTTGCCATCTCTTATATACATCGTGCTACGTATTCAGCAAGATTGTGATTGCTAGTGTTCGATGTTCCAGTTGCCATGAAACTGAACTGGGAAATGCTTACGCAACATTTAAAAGGTAATGGAATGGAAGGCAAAATAATAAATAATAATATTTGCGGAAGTTATCGCCCATGTGAAATATGAATATTATTCATTAAAATTTAATAAAAAAATGCAAAATATCGGAGCCATTCCCGTGACACTGCTTTAATATGAAGGACTCTGCGGTCCATGCGTTTTTTTGCGCAAATTTGAAAATCGAAAAAAAAAAACAAGCAAAACCACTACAGTGGACCATTATTAAATAGCCTATCCGCCTGAGTGGCCGAGTAGGCAAGAATCTCGACTAGCAACTCAATGGTCGCGGGTTCAAATCTCAAGTTTTTAATAAAAGTCGAAAGTCTTAGATGATGGTGCTTTAAGACGTTCAGTCCTAGAATTTATTCTCTGGCTAAATTTTATAATAATAATAGTAGTGATAATAGATAGCCTACGTCAGTTCACGTAACTCAATTACTCATGCAACGACTTTTCAAAATAAAGCACATTTGCATTAACAATGTATTTGTGGTACAAGACAATATTAGGTTTGTGCGGATGTATGCAACACCCACAAATACCTAGAATTAGAGTCATCTTTTATTATATTAACTGATTCAGTATCACTTTTCGAATCGATCTAGACTGGTCGGTCCGGCTGTCCTTCTCTCCATCTTTTCGCAATCTTTTAGATATTTTAATGGAGTTTGATATATCGCCGTGTTTTGGAGCAGGAATGAAAACCACCAAACATATTATACTATGCTTTATTTTGAATTTCGTGATATGGATAACTGTACAGTGGCATAAGGTATTTAATGATGAGTCATGACCCACTAAAGAGATTTCACTTCTTTTTTTTTTCTATTAGTTTGTGATTCCAAGACTATAAAAATGCCCTTCCAAGCTGAAATAATTGTCCCCTGTTCTCTTCCCTCGACGATTATACACGCGAAAATGTCTCTTTGCCTGGAACTGTTGAAGACAGCATTCCGCTTGTTACACTTTACGTGTAGCAAGAATGGCAGAGAGAACAGAAGAAAATGTATATTTCTATAGCCGAATCTATAATCAGCCCCCGAAATCTTCATCTCACAGTATTAATGTATTCACAGAAGAATTGAGTCTTCTAGCTGCTTCAACGTTCTATTTCAGCGCTCATCTCAATAAAGCTACGCTAACACATTTTTGTTTGGAAATGCTTCTAAATGAACATAAGTACCTTCGGAAGACATCTTTTAGCGGATTTGAGAAGTTGGAAATCAGACTGGTCAGACATTAGGCTTCTTCTTCTTCGCAGCGGAGATTCATTTCGCAGAGAGCGCTCTAAACGAAAAGCCCAGGTTCGGTCTCTAAAGCCGACAAGACCGAAAAATTTTCCTCTTCTACTTATGTTCTGGAAAACAAAAAATAGTTATATCGAGAGAGAGAGAGAGAGAGAGAGTTCTCGTGTTAATGCCTCTCGTGCTTTTCAGCATATATTGCTGCACCTTACTCCACATATTTCGTCATCGACTATGTACGCTAATTATCATCGTAAATAGTTGAAATCGACTTATATAATACGTCCGTTTTCGTGTCCGTTATTTATTTGAATTTCAAAACTTTGTCCGGAAGAGCAAGTTTGAACGCGAATTTTCGCCGTCGCTGTCGCCAAGTCAAATTCCAAAATTGGTAAAAGCGATTCATAAATCCATCGGTAATCATCAAAAAGCTTACACTTTCCTCCCTGTCCTAAGGCGTAGTATAAAGCAGACAGACATATGTAAATCGGTTTCCCATAGTCATACTGATGGGATATGTGTATGCGATAGATAATATTTGTCTTGACAAGAACAAGTTTCTTAGTTATCGCTCGACTAGAAATCAATTAAAGTAAAGACAAAATAAACACGAGTAGCGTGAACCGGCTGAAGCGACAGACACACGACAGAGTTACGAAGTTGGGAGGTAAATAGCAAAGTGAGAAATGATCCAGGAAACGTATTCGGTTTTTTCGATTGAGTGCCGAGCTTTGTAACCACTGCATCTACTGTTACTGTTTATCAGCCAAATCTCAAAAAAAAAAAAAATGTCAACATTTTAAAAGATGAGAAATACAAATTGTAAAGATGACTATGATATACAAGTAAGACTTGTTGTCATTTCCTACTAATTCTGCTCTCGATGTGCGGGCTAGATGCCCCGTTTTATGTATATTAACTTAAAAATAATGTACAATCCAAGTGATAAGACGTCATAACGTGATGTTGAGTTGATTATGTAATGGTCGATGGTGGTGGGATAATCTTTTCACTTGTTTTATCTACATAATAGTGCTTATAAGTTCAAAGCAATGGCGAAAATTTATTCGCCCGAAGAGAATTTGAGAATTCTAATCGTGTTGGCGAAACACGACGAAATTATCAGGCAGATACATATGCACATATATATTAATGAAGAACGCGTGTGTTATATAATCAACGAGATACGAAATCATTTGCAAGAATATTTGAAAAGATTCGAGTTTTTGTAAATTAAAATGAACAAAAATGCCAGAAAAAAGCAAAGCGCCTTTGTTGACTTCTTTCTTTAAAAATTATTTAAGAAAAACTTAGCGTAGAAGAGAATTAACGAAAGCCCTCTCCCATCAGTTTTGTAAATTTGAATTTTATGTCAATTTTGCTTTTAAATAACATAATTAAAACGTGAAATAATGACATTTGACAAAATCGTTTATACCCATCACTGTTATCGTAAATAACATAAAATAGAAAAAAAACCGAAATTTTCATATTTTATGCGCGAATGATTTTTTTATTTTTTAAAATAAAAATGAAAATTTATGCGGTATATGTGTTATGCTTTATAAGTAAGAAGCAAAAATAGAGACAGTAAAAGGTGCTTTCAGCTTTTGCTGCATAGGCGTGTAGGCGCTGTTGGTGACACTTTGGAAAATTTGTCGCCATTTAGGGACATCTTCATTTTTGCGAACGAGAGTATATTTACCACAGATACTACAAACTTGGGCAAACAGACAGATGGACGGATGAGCGGACAAACATGCTTACACGGATTCCCAATTTGAAATTGGCAAAGAATTTTTATACCTCATGCGGTATCGAAAAAAAATTTTAAAATTGGAAATATAATAATATTGGGTAGGCGCGATCCATTTTTTCCCATTTTTGTAGAGCTATTACAGCATAGTCCATAGAACATAAATTCATAATTTTATAGTTTTATCCGCTTTAGTTTGTGAGGAATGAGCAAAAACCAATTGTCTATTATTGTTGTCCCATTTATATAGATCTTGAAATTTTTCATCTCGATGCAGATATATTCAGGCGCCTGAAGAACCGGTCTTAACTAACATCTTTCCTATATTTACCTTTAGCCAATTCTTTTACTTTATTCAACTTAGTCGGTCAAGTCCATCATTATGCTCTTTCTTTTAATCTCTTCTTTTTTTTTTTTTTACTTTTGCATTTCACTCCACTAGCCCATTTGTGATTATATTTCCATTATAACTATTCCGTGTATAGCTTGTGCTGCAGAGGGTATTCAGTTTGTACGGATGTATGTCACATCTAGAAGGACTAAAGACTCATCAACCTATTCAGATGATGTAAATTTGTATATCTACTTATATGTCAGCTTGTATGTCCGTCCGTCCGTCCGTCCGTCCGTCCGCCTAATGTCTGTCCATAATTTCTGTATTGATTCAACAGGTTGAAAAATGTTGAGATATTTTGACGAAATTTGTAACACACGAGTGTTTCGGCTCAAAAACATATGCAATTGAAAATGGATTGGATCGGTTTGGTTTTCGGTCTTCCATAACGATTATGTGAATTGTTTTCGGTTTTCTGAAACAACAGCCAATTTCGGGCAACTGCGTTTTTACGATCATGTTTAAATTAAGCATACCCTACACTAATAGTTGATTTGCCTAGTGCGGGGTCTTCATAACGTTTATCAAACCATTGTTGGCCTTCAAAAGTATATTTTGAAGTTAAAAAGCATTATTTAATCAACCAGTGAAGTGGTTTTCTATTGACTGGTTTGAAGATTAGATTAAATTGTGTTCACTAAAACCACTGCAACTGCAAAATTATGAAATTTTGACTTGTATCGATTAAAGGCTGGCGCTAGCCGCAAATCATATAAATCTGTCAACAGTCTATGCCGTCTGTATGCCAGAACAAAGACTTGTCGTGCGATGTGCTAATAATATATATATATATATATGTACGATGAATGTAAAAAAGTTACTCACTTTGCTTCTCTTTTCGCTTTAGATGGACTTCAAAATCGATTCAGCTTCTTAATGAACAAATTTTTCAAATATTTGAATGAATATTGAAATGAAGTATGAAGAAAACATGAATAGTTGTTGTAAAATATCCAAAAACAAAATCGTATTTGCAGCTCAATCAATTGTAAATGATTAACAAAAAATGTAGATAGAGACAAATAAAAGTAAATGAAAAT